CCCTCCTCTCTCTCTCTCTCTGTTCTGGTTGGAGTTGTTGCTCCTCTCCTCTTTTACCTTGTTCCTGCCCCCCCCCCTTTTCTTCTTTTCTTTACTTCAGAGCCGCTTCCCCTCTTTTCTTCTCCCTCCTTTCTGAGGTCCGTCTGACAGCCAAATGGCCGAGCCCAGGAAGGAGGGGGGTGGTGTTTTTCTTCTTTTCCTGTCATCTGTTTGCATCTGAGTCTAATCCGACTCTCTCTCTCTCTCTCTCTCTCTCTCTCACTCTCTCTCTCTCTCTCTCTCGCTCCCTCACACACATCAGCAGCATCTAATGTCCGACACACAAACAAAGCACCAACAGGCTGTAATGTCAGCACAAACACGAACCATGCCAGATCTCTCTCCCCCTCGCTTGTGCTCTTTTTAATTAAGTTACACTCACAGTGCCTGGAGACTTCAAAACACTGTCTGCAGGAGTGAAAGACTTTCTCCCCCTCTCTCTCTCTTTACCTCCCCCTCTCCCCATCTGTCTCTCTCTGTGTCTCTGATGTTTAAACCCATTTGCTCAGGTTCCCATTTTCTGTGTATTTTACAAAACCATTCACCATCACAACATCAGCCATTTGTCTGAATGACAGCTTCATTTACACGCACACACACGCACACACACACACACGCACACTCAATTATGAATATTGTGACTATTCAGTCCATCACAAGCTGTTTAAAGTGTCTTAAAAGTTGTGCATAAAGCTGCGTGAGTTCATCTCCATTTGCATGAGTGTTAATAGAGTTTAAAAAAACATTAAACTAAACTAAACGCTGTTGTGTTTATTGTTGTTTACCTTCCCATATTTGCATAGCTGCATAGGTAAATTTAAGGCTCAGCACTCTTCACTGCTGTTCATGCCTACAAGTGCAGTGACTGCGCATGTTTCTTTTGGGCTGTAGACACAGTAGAGAGAGGCAGAGAAGTCAGGGAGAAAGAGAGGGGGTGACACTGCTGACAAAAACTTGCCAACTATCAGCTTTAAAGATGAAAAAAAGAGTTAGAGTTAGAGTTTGGGTTTTTCTCTTTCTACTAGTTTTGTAAAAACTCTAAAACAGTCTAATCCCAAAACACGAGATCATCTGAAAACATGTTACGCTCTCTGAGTCAGCAGCTATGAGCTGCAACTTCCTGCCAATGATACACTCATGATGCTTCCTGTGTTTACATGTGTGCATCTGACAGCATGTGTGTGTGTGTGTGTGTGTGTGTTTCACAGTGGATTATCCCCTGGAGAGAGGCCTGCAGGGTGCAGACTAATTGCAGAGCAAAAGTGGCTTTAATCCTGTTGCTGTAGGTCAGCAGGGAGGAGCAGGAAGGGGGAGAAGGTGGACAGGATGAGGATGAGAGGGAGCAGCCGACCTTACATACGAGCTGCCTTGATAATCTGCCAGGCTTTTGTTCATCTGCGATTGAAATTCACAGGCCGAGTGAAGTTTTCACCGCAACTACCTTCCACTGAACAAACGGTGAGGTTTGTGGATTATTCAGACTGACAAGAACATTGTTTCTCGCTCTTGAGTTTTTCAAAAGCGATCTTTCCCTAACCTTAAACAAATGATTTTGTTTCCTAAACTTTCCTTAACCTTAACCATGATGTAGCTGCCATGTGCAGATATTGTGGGAAGAGAGAATTGTAAAAGTCACCGGCATTGGATGTAAAAAAAAGAAGGAAAAAAAGAGTTGGAACTAAATTAAATCAGGGATTTTCCAGAATTGTCCAGTACCATTTTTGTCTGGTGATAGGGTTCAAATTCAGAACGTGATGAGGTGCCCTTGTGGTGGTCTGGACAATAACATGCCCAGTCTGATTCAGGCTGTGGACCTCTCCTCGTCTCTCTCTCCCCTCATTCCTCTACTCTCAACTATCTACTTAGTAAATTAGTAAACACCTTAAGTAACCACTTAACGCTATGGTGCAACTCACAATGAGAGAACCTTACTCACAACAAACTGTGTGTGTGCAGCAGAAAACACAAAAACATCTGCATGGGGACATGAAATCAGGGTGAATATTTATCTTAAACCCCCTCCTTTAAAAACATCTGGGTTTTTTTTTTTGGTGGTACAATTTGTAAAAATCAAAACCAATGAGCCTTAATCACTGACTATCAAAGACTAGAAGCCACTACAATCAAAGAAGTTTCAACTGCTCAAAGTCAGAGACAAAGACAGAAAGCAGTGGAGGGCTGGTCAGTTACTGTGTGTGCAACATGTGAGACATCTGCTGTCGAAACAATGTAGGAGCTGAACCGGATCCAAGATCCACTTTTCCTTTTCCAGTCAGCGTGTAACGCTCGACGCTGAAAACAGCAACCTCTGCAGGAGAAAACTCCGCAACAGCAACAAACTCAACTATCACATGCAACTGAATCTACAAATAGCAACAGCTGCATGTCAGTGAATTCAGCAGAAGGCACAGACACTTTCAGTCATACACCAAACAAATAGTACATCAAACTGAAGTAGTTTGACCTTACCTTAACAGTCCTGAGCAGTTCAGCCCTCGTCCCAAAGAGCGTCTAACCTCTACACTAAGTACCTCATTTCCAAACAGACTCAAGTCAGAGAGCAGAGGGAGGGTGTGAGTTGCAGTACGCAGAGGAAATGAAAGAGAGTGATGGAAAGTGGAGAGAGAGATGTAAAATGTTGAGAGATGTAAACAAGTTAGAGCAGCTACACAGGACAGGCAGAGGGTGTGAGGGAGGGAGCTCAGCACAGGAAGTTGATAATAGCCGAGTTGTAATAGTGTCCCTGAGGAAAACTTTATGGAACACGTCCAAACTCTCTCTCCACTCGTTCCCCTCTCTCCTTCTGTTGCTATGGATTTTATAAATGAGAGGAAGGAAGGAAGGAAGGAAGGAAAAAAGAAAGAAAGAAAGAAAGAAAGAAAGAAAGAAAGAAAGAAAGAAAGAAAGAAAGAAAGACTGATGACTGTGACAAGAGACCAAATGAGCCATGAGTTCATCCTCACAGAGACATGCAAAATTTCCCCTCCTCTCCCTCTGACCCTTCAGCTGACCCCGTCTGACCCTCTGACTGTTTCTGTCCCTCCACTGTGAAAACACCGGACGATGAGAGCTTACATACAGATCTGCACACGAGCTGTTCCTTCATTGTCGAAGTCACTCAACTGTTTTTTTACATTTCGCTTCAAAGCTCCACAGGTTCGGCTAAAACATATAGGAGGAAGCGTCTACGGACGACCCGCTCACATGCGGGCGACACCTACATTAATGTTGTTACATCATCATAAAGTGAAGCTCTGTCATTGACATGGGGGACAGCTACACCAGAGAGTCTGCTCTAATCAGTGCTGAATGAACAGATACATAGAGCCTCACTCTGCTAATGTGTTATGAAAAACTCTGACCTAGAAAAGAAGGGGCAGAAAGAAAAACACTGTATACCATAAACACAAATATTCCCTGCTGAAAGAGTCCTTTCAACATAAAACAGCTGCTTCTTTTAGTCATCATGTTGTGCATCTGACTCCATTTCTCAAGAGCTTGTCGGCTTCACGATGACTTCACTTATATAACATGCAACGTGCACCACCAGGCGCTCTATGAGTGAAAGTGAACGCATCATTTATTCACAGTGAGATGTACACCGGGCACAGGGTGTAACTTCGAACTCAGCTGTATAATTTCTAAGGTCAGTGAGAGTTTATCTGCTAATTTTACATGAGCAGCTTCTGAAACTTCCTGGCTATTGACGCACAAACGAACTGGTAACATGGTTTGAAGGTTTTGTTTTTAGCTGCTTTTTGCTTTGTAGCTTCTCCGGTGAAAAAAAAAAGACCTGACAGGTTTTAAAAACAGGCGACCTCTAGTGGTCGCTGTAAATACGACGGGATGAAAGGAGGAAGTCACGTGAGTCCGTGTTAAGATGATGGTTGGGGTGGATTTCACAAGCTGTTCATTGACCTTAACCGCATATTTATTATTGTAACCATGACGACGAAGGTACTTTAACCTTAAGGAAGTACCCAGACAGTAATCTTTTCCTAAACCTAACCTGACCCGAGTTTTTGTGCCTGAACTCAATCCACAACTTGAACCGCGCAGTAATTATTGTTACCATGGCGACAAAGTTCTGGTACGCCTGTCACTGATACACTCCTATTGTTCGTATTCGAGCGGTAACAACACATATAATGGTAAGTCAGGTTGGAGGACTTGTTGGTGGATATATATATAGTATATATATATATATATATATATGAAGAGATATGAAAAGGAGAGTATCGTCCACATAAATATGATATTCATGAATTCCCAGGTGTGATCGAACGCTGTCAGTGAGGGCCTCCATTGCTGGCACAAAGAGCAAGGGCCTTAATGTGCAGCCCTGCATAGTTTGCTGGGTAACTTAGGAGAAACTGTCTGTAGTCATTTAGACAGTATTTCGGTATAGGGGTTGTTATATAATAATTGTTTCCGAGAAATAAACCAGTTTCATTTTCTGTGGCTTTTCAGCATCCAAATATGGAACCAAAAGATTCTTTTTCAGGCGTCTTTGGGGTGTACAAAATAAATTATTAGTATTGGCCCTTTTCTAAGAGAACTGCGGTTCACTGAATGTGAGAACATAATCTGTAACATCACAACATGATGCTTTGTGGGAATAAGGAAAGCAGACAGCAGTTCCTCATGCTCAGAAAGCCAAGAATAACAAGCAGAATCCACAGTCTAGACCGACGCTCATTTTCAGCTATTTCTTCTTCTTCTGTTTTTAACGGCAGCAAACACCAAGAATACACCATGAATGGCAAAAAGCAAAAACAATCCACAATGCTGAAAAAAATCAGTATAAACTGGAATCAAATTATTTTTCACTACCTAAAAACATGTCGTGATACAGCTTGATATGACAGATAAATTAAGTGCCACATTTCCACTGACGTGGCTGCAACCGAGAACATATCGTACCATTAGAAATTAGTCAAAATGTCGAATAAAGTACTCACGGCTCCACTCTGTAGCCAGTTTATGAGAGCCTGTGCTGTCTCTGTCTGTAGCTGCGCTCTCAGGCTCTCCCTCTCCTCCTGGTTGGGTTGGAGCTCCAAGGCGAGTTTGAGGTCCTCGGCTAACTGGACGACCTGCAGAGGACCGGTGCTTATGGGAGAACCCAGGTCATACATGCTGTTAGAGAACTCCACCGCTGCTGCTTTCGAACCTGGAGAGTTGTGACGGAGGAGAGACAGAGATTATTAATGCCATTACTCAAAACTGAAATGTGACTGAAATACTGATCTATTCGGTGTATTACCAGTACATTTGCAAGAAGCCCTCAAATGAAGCTGTGCGTACTCGGAACAACAGAACTTAATCAGAGCCATACATCCTCCTGAATATTTCCAAAATGTCCATGTGTCACCTGGATCATTTCCCTGGCAGCCACACACACTGTAAGGCGCACACTCTCGCAACACACATCTGGATGCACTCAAATGTCTTTGAAAAACAGCTACACATTACAGTGCCTGCATACAGCACATTAAGCACCAAAATTAATAAACAGAACATAATGAAAACAATGCTTGCTTGAAAAAAGGTCTGGTTGAATATCTGTTTGTGCGTCTGAATGTGTGCAGAAGGAGAGAATATATCACTGTAAAGGTTGAATATTATATGAAAATTGTCCAGGTATGGTTTTCTCCTTTCGTTTGTAATACACAAATCATTAAACGGTGGGGCTACGTTACTTATTTGACACATTTTTGGAGTATTTAGTACATCTGTGGGGACATTTGGAGCCTGGGTATCAAAGGGTGGGTTAGGGTGAGGGTATCACACATGATACTAAGACAGCCTGTGCAGTAGCATTATATAAACAGATAACTTTTGCCCGGTTGAGAAGATATGAGCACAATATGAATAAAGAAACAAACAGAACGTGAACCCATTCTCCCATTCATTTATCCATCCAGGCTGTGGCTTATTAAAGCCGGAGTGCACAGAGGAAAAACTTATTCATGCCCTGTCAACTCAGCCCAGATCCAAACTGCTGCACCGCCTCCAGCACGGGCCTAAAACAGCTCCACGAGGAGGACAGGTTTCTATTGTGAGCGTGTCAGCTTTGGAGATCTGTTGTACATTTATGAAATAGTTGTAATACTGTCATCACTTTCCAAAGGGAGGTCAAAAGTCAACGCAAGTTACAAGACACCCGTGCTGGAACTGCTGCATGGACACAGACGTTTACGTCTGTCACAGCAGGAAACACACAGGTGCAATCGATGTAATTAACGATGGTGATCATTTACTGAGTCATCGTTAATGTTATTTGTTTCACCTGTGCCACCTGTGCTAATACCTCACGTCTCCTGAGCCACGTTCTCCCCTCCGTCTTCCACAGATCTGCCATTCTCCATCTGTCCACCAGATGTCCCTGGACTTTTCTCCCTATCTACAATTCCACCTGCTCACCTGTTCCACATTTGCAACCACCTGCGCTTCCCTGCCCACTCACACGCCCGAGCCTGTTTTCAAACCTGCCGTCGTCACCAGTTCCTTGTAACTTCACTGCATCTACGTCTTTTGAGGCTGCATTCAGCTGCTCCCATCAGCCGTGACATATATGCACTATATGCTAATCTTAATAGTTCACTGTTTTTGCAATGAGTGTATGACAGCATCTTTTCACTAAACTTTACCGTTCTGTACTAACAGGAAATACCATCAGGTGTCAGTCAAACTGTGATTTTCAAGTACCACAGCCAATTAAATTTCAGAGATTCTAAAAGATTTAATATATTTATATAATATATTTTCATTTTATATGGTTTTATTTACATTTCTTGCAGGTGTGAGCAGCTCCTCTGTTTCTTTTGTGAACTGCATATTGGTAAATATATAAAACTATATACTTAAAACCTGCATGTCCAACCAATACATCAGCCAATGTCAGCTAGTTGCTGACACTAAGTATTGGTATTGGTGTATATGCTGGTAACAAGAAACTGGAGTACTGAAATGCCAATGTCTGAGTATGTTTGAGGTCATTTATAAACAGTGTCTCCGTTATACAGTTTGTGTAATTTGTGGTTTGACAAGAATATTTTTCCAACGGTAACACATCCTGCACAGTACATGCATGTCTTCTCTCTATCTCAATAACTTTAAGGTATCCTTATCAAATTACATTTATATAGTACTTTTATCCAAAGATATCTGCTATTTGTCTCTCATTCACCCATTCACACATGCACTCACACACATATGGCAGCAGCCACACGGACAGGAGAAGAAAGGGATCGAACCACCAACCACTCAAACACAGGATGTTAGTTTTATGTCAAATGTGTTTGAAACAAAATAAATATTGAACAATATAATGTTACATTTCAATCCTTTTTGTTTTCCTTTTGTGTTGAGGAAAGAAGTATTTATAGTCCATGTGTTATACATAAAGTTGTGTTATAAATAAAGCCTAGTGTAAGTGCAGCCGGATTCTCTCTGCACTGCGGTCATTTTGGACAATACGTAACGTTACAGTTGAAAAATAAAATGTCAAACCACAATTTACAACAACGGATGTTAGTTTAAATAAACACTGGACAATATAATGTTACTGGGATCTTTTTTTTCTTATTCTTAAATACCTATATTGATTATTGGCCTCAAAAATCCAGTATCCATTGGGGTATGCAGAAAGTAAAACCTTAAAATTTGTAGTAAGACACTGGGACACAGCTGCTGTATATTATATGTTTGCTGTAGTGGTGCCACCTGCATTTTAACATACTCTGGTGATGACACAGTATCAGAGAGATACAGATTTCATTGTAGAACAAGGCCTGATTTAATATGTAGTTTTTATTCCACTGTCTGCCTCTGATAATCTGTACAACTCATGATGACTGGTGTCCTGTTCCATTGCCTTGTAGCCATGTTTTCTGAAGGCCACAACACAATCACGGGGGGGGCTGGAGTTAAAGGAGAGAAGTGGGATGAAAAGTCTTGCAGTCGCTGCTCCACCTGCCATCATTACATGGTGGCGTAGTTACATCAACGACACCAGCATCAAAGTCATTAACCAATGGAGTGCTCCCACTACTATTCCCACAAGATGCTTAATCAGAGAGAGAAAAAAAAACACTCTTCATCATGGAACGCAATATGACCAACATATCTAAACTCTGTTGATAAGTGGCTCTAATTTCCTTGTTAGTGATTGGCTGATGTTATCACAAATGGGATTTTTAATGTATTTCTATTTGCGGTCACTGAGAGCCGGAATGGCAAACTCAGAGCACTTGATGAGATGAGGTCAGAGGCAACTTGATGAGCTTCAGACGCGACAGTGCAGCCTGTGTGAACGCTCGTTTGTTCACTTCTGCTTCATGTGAAAAATGTGTTACGATAATCTGAGGGGTGAGATGATGCACACACTTGATAAATGAGTGCAGGGAACCTAACCATAGTCGTATATCCGGTAATTACATCTTGGTAAAAAGTGTCATAATACTTTGGATGATAGAGCCTCCCTCTGCTGTTATGTAATAATATCACATCACCCAAAAAGAATAACATACTAGGCATTAGTTATGTTTTTTATGGCAAGTTTTAGTGTATCAGCCACAAAATAACCTTTTATTTTGAGAAATTCACAATAAATCTACTGCCCCCCCACCCCCCCTCCCTCCTCTGAATGTGCAGGGTCACTGCTCTGTTTTCCCACATACTGATTGTGCACCACATTAAACATTTACCCTGCTGTAAGTTCATCTTGTTGGCCAAGGCTGAACTGGGTGCAGCAAACAGGACTCCAGTTACATGTTACAATGCAAGTACTGTATATAACCCTGAGAAATGTGGCGATGTCACAAGTGCAGAACAGTATTTACCACTTTTACCACTGTTATCAGAAAATATTAAACTGGTAGTTTTCTTAGGGATGTGACTCCTAAAATACAAATACAAAGTATGCTTGCCAATGTGCATCATTAATTAACTGGATTTTTGAGTGTGATATCGACTGACACTACTGCGCCACTATGAGCTACACACAGCTGATAATAGGTTTCAAAACATGGCGCTGGTGATAGCTCTCAGACCTAACTACATATTAAACTAGTAATTAATGAATCCTGGGAAAACTTCTTTCATCATTCATCATGCAATCACCAAGATAAGGTTTGTGTAGTAGTGTATCTTTTGGACATTAATGAGGTTCAAGTATCATTTATTATTATTATAGATTCGGATTCTGTTATTTAAAATGTAGTTTTTATTCATCTCTGATAAAAATGTGATGTTTGTCAGATTGTTATTTATGGTTGAAACATGCAGCAAGACTGCAAAAAAAAACACATCTGCACTGGTGGTGTTAAGTGTCCATCATTCTTTTTTAATGTGGACGGTGCATAAATGGGCAACACCAAAGCGCTGCAGAAAGTCTATCAAGGAAGAAATGACAACTGATCCAGCTGCGCCGCCATCATCAGAACGAGATGTCGCTTTAAATGACAGTTCGGAGGAAAGGACATCAAATTTCTCTTTTCTTGGTCCCTCTTTCCTCCCGTCTTTTCCTCGCAATCCACCCTTGTTTCTTTGGTGGGAGGGACAAGGATGCAAGGAAAAGCCACAAGTGAAGGAAATGAGGATGCAGTGAAGGGAATTTGGGATGTTAGCTACCGACTTGGTAGCGCTTACCTGCGATGATGTCATCCATCTGCTCCAGCGCCGCCTCCAGCATGTGACTGGCCTCCGTTTCCATGGTGATGGCGGGAAGCATCAGATCTCAGCTTTTCTGATGTGCTGTAGAAAAACGAAAAAGAAATAAAATTGTGTTTAACAGAAACTCACTGTATGTTGTCAGGTTATTTCCAGCCAAGTCTGCAAACAGTGAGAGTTGACAGTTCCAACACAAAGATCTCACCTGCAGCTGGAAAAACAGGAGACTTGCATTACAAAAATGCACATTTTCCAAAGACTAAGTTTGCTGTGCGCTCTCTGCCCCTCCTACCCAGCATGGAGACACAATCAAGCAGCTGTGGATGTGTGGATGCTCGAACCAACTCTAATCAAATAAGGATAATGTGTCTCATTTGCTTGGCAACTTCCTATGGGCATCGAAAATCTAATACTCAGAAACAAGGACACTATAACACACGTGTAAACATCAAGAATTAACCCCTGACTTTTAATCTCTTTTGTAGTTTTGAAGTCTTTCAGAACAGGAAGTCACAACAATAATAATAATAATAATGATAATGATAATAACTTTTTAAGCAGGCAGTTGAATTTAAAAGGGCAATACATTTTGTTTGTTACTGTTGCAAGTGATAGAAAGACCATAAAATATTCAAGAGTGATGATATGGTTATTGATTGATTACCAGTTACTAACAGCAGTAATGTTTTGGCGTCAATGGGCAAAACAATTAAGCGTCTAGACGTCTGCACATAGTAGTGGTTGGTTGTGCAGGTAGATTTACCATGAAAGCAGGTGATGAGTGGCTATGTTGAATGTTGCTAATAGTTTAGCCTTCTGCTAACTGTAGCCAAAGACTCACAGCTCTGGTTGTGTCTGTTGTGATTGTTGCTCGTGTTGCTTGTGTGTATAAAGCGCGTGCGTATGCCCCTGAGGGGAGAGCTGCAGGAGGGCGGCTTCTTTCTTTCTGTTTACCTCAGCATTTAAGTATAAGCTAGAGTTAAATTTTACAGATGCAATTTCTCTTGGTCACCAGCAGAGGTCCAAAAAGTTCATAGATTTCCAAATTCATTTTGTTCTGCTTTATGCAACAAATTAGACATTGTGCTTGCTCAGTGTTTATTATTTTTATTTTACTGTATATATATGTAACCCATAAAAGCACACGTGGAAAAAATAAGCATGAAAGCAAGCATGAAGTGTACATACAGCCAGGGGCAACTACACATATATATTTATATAATGTCTCACAAAACACCCACACACTCACAAACAAATACACGTTTTATTTCTTGAAGCAGGACTGACTTTCAGTCCATCATCGCCGCCTCTGGCTGCCCCTCCGTCTATCTCGTTTCCTGCTTTTCCCTCTGCCCGTCCTCCCTGCTGTCATCCCGTCTTTGCCTGGCACTCATCCCCTCTCTGTCATCTCTCCCTCAAGGCTCTCATCCCTCTGTTCGGCTGTCATGCCGACTTACAGACAAACAGACATCAACATGCAGAAATCACAGGGTTTGACAGCAATGTAATCGACTGACGCCTTGAGAGAATACCCCCCCCACCCACCCACAGAGCAGCCTAATGCTCATCTACATTAGCACCAACTTTCACAGCCACCATGACAGCTGACACCGACAATCTGCATAACACACAGTCAATGCAGTTACAGTAACACGCTGTCATTACAACTCTGACACCATCGGCGTTCTCCCAAAGCATGTGTCCATCCCCATGATGCGTGTGTGTGTGTGTGTGTGTGTGTGTGTGTGGACACAAATGTGTGTGTTTGGTCATTTTATTGTTAATAATTACAAATGGCTCTATATTAGTCTTGTTGGGACAAAGAGTGACAGCACCATTCAGACACATGACAGTGACTCCGTTTGTGACAACAGTTGACCTCGACAGAACAAAGCCTCTGTTTGTGTGTGTGTGTGTGTGTGTGTGTGTGTGTGTGTGTGTGTCCATTTTTGAGAAAGTGTGTGTGTGTGTGTGTAAGAGAGGAAATAGTGGGTTTATATGACTCTTTGTTGTGTGTTCCTCTGTCACACTGCGGGTGTGAAGGTGCTGATATAGAGATTATTGTGCTGCTCCAGCACAGAGCTGACGGGACAAACTGTAACAAGCAACAATCCTGTCCACTGTCTCCCATATTGCACAATCTGTGCAACGGCTATGTGTGTGGAAACGTTTGTGTGTGTGTGTGTGTGTTTGTGCTTTGGGGAAAGACAGTGTGTGTGAGAGAGAGGGTGTGTCTGTGTGTGTGTGAGATCTGTGTCTCCTTGTGAAATTGGTATTATTTCTTGGTGCAAAAATGCCTCACGATGAAACTGATTCACAAACTTAACTTTTACTACTAATACTAATACAACTAATACTTTGATGCTTCTTTAGCCACAAAATATTTTAGCTGAGGATAAAAATTGTGCAACAAAACCATGAAAATGTCCTATTTTCTTATCTTCTGCTTAAATCAGCTTCTCAAATGAGGTCTATTGACTGTTAGGCAATAAAATATCTTTTATCACTGAGTAAAAGAATAAGTAAGAAACAATGAACAACTTGAGAGTTTATTCAAAATGTTAAAGATTAGCAGTAGTGTGTTGCTTTGTGTGACAGCTACAGTAATTTATCAAGAGTCCAAATTCAGTTAAAGTGAATAGCGGGATCATCTCCTGAGGTGAAGTCACATTGCGTTCTTTGATTTCTCACTCGTGGCTTGGTTGTCGTAGAAACAGACACACCTTTTCCCAGGAAGAGTGACACACTCCAGAAAAACTAGTTTGTCAGACATGAGAATCTGTGACCTGTTTCTCACAGCTACACCCAGCTCTCTCTCCTGAGTCAAAAGGGAAGGTGGTACTCCGTTGAGAGGGCGGAGACAACACCACTCCCATGAAGAGTGACATTATTAAATAAAACTTGAGATGAAATGTGCTATTGGGAAAATTGCCATAATGAAATTAAAACACTTTTGAAACAAGGGCATATTGAAATAACATGTCTACAATAAAGTCAACATTATTTCCAAAAAAATATTATATATATTATGAAAATGTTTAATTTTAACAATCAAAATAATTATTTCGCAAATTCTTGGTTCATTTATGTATTTTACACATTTTATTCATATGATTATTTATTTCATAATTTCTTTTTTTTTTTTAATTAATTTAACATTTTCATATTTCATACTGGATAGTTACAGCAGTGGTCATTCCATATGCTTAACCACATTTATTATTGTAACCATGACAACAAAGGTCCAGTACGCCTGCCCCTGTACAGGTGATACTGCTGTGGGTCACATCAGAGAGAAAGGTGAAAATGGACTCTATGGCCATTCAGGTTGGAGGACTTGTTGAGAAAGTTAGATGCCACAAGAATTTCAAGAATTTAAAAAATGTAGTAGGCTCTGAAACCAACAATTCGAACCTGTCGTCATATGATTACCTGATGATAAGTGTTTCCTATTTGACAACAATCAATACAAACACCTACTGCTCCCTGTTTGCTACTAACTAAAGATCCTCAAATCCACCTGCACGTTTCAGAAATCAGCACTTTCCCTTTGGTTGGTGAGAAACTGCAGGTTTCAGAGAAAATAAACACTGATAATGTTTCACCTTTCAGACACCAATGTACACAATATAAAGTAGTTTCCAATTTAGGAATGGTTCACTCATTCAGCCAGTGTTTCAACATATTCCTGATATGATAAAACTTCTACTAGGTGCCTTTATGCACACAATCATATCAAGAGATCTTTTCCATGCACGGTGCCTGTATATGGCCAAACGAGTGTGTCCGCTGTTTCACTACAACCTCCCTCCTCCTGTTTCCTCTCGTCTCTGTCCAACTCAACCACACAGAGATCCCTGTCTGAGAGAGACGAATAGAGATAGAGAAATAGAGAAGAAATAGAGAAATGTTTATGTGCTGAACAGCCCTTCACAACCGTCACATGGCCTCCATACATTACTGTCATCCAGCTCTGCTCTTCATTATCGCTTTACACTGCTCCTGCTGCTCTTCACATCAACAAGCTGAGAAACTACTAGCAACTGCTGGGGTTTAATGTAAAGTCCATGAGCAACACTTCTTTTCATTACACACTTCTGGTATCCTTACTGATTTGCCAATTCTTTTTTGCGCTCAGGGCTCCATGGACCTGCTCCAGTTTGGTTCTCTAATCAAAACAATAGTAAACAGGATAAACTTAAAACATTTCAAAATAAAAGTGACTAAGGGCAGAAGAAGATGGCACACAATAGAGCATGGCAAAGACACAGCAATAATGAGGGAAAGTGAAATAATAAAGTACGGCATAAAGCAAGCAAGCAAACAAAGTTATGCAATGGTCTTTCTGTGCAAACAGTGTGTGTGCTGGCATAATCACTTTTTATTTGACCACAAAAAGAGGAAAATAATTGATTTTTGGGTATGTGTGGGCAGGGGAATGATTGCTGTAAGCACAACACTGACATATTCAAAATTGGTGCAGCTAACATATTAGCAAACCTATTTCCCTACTGACAGTCAAGCAGTTACAGACCTTTCGGTCCAATTAACAAATGTTAAGTCCAGCACTTATTCTCCTTTCAGCTCTGTTTTGGTCTCTACCACCTCATGGGAAAAACACATGACTCGCATGAATCGTCCAATATGTTCATCAGCTGGTTGCTAACTTTCTCTGACCGCTGCAGGCTGTGTGCAGTGGGTTTATCAAAGTTTTTTCACAGAAAAACTGTTGCTTTAATTTAAGTTTATAGGAGCAGTGAGAATTAACCACAACAGATAAGTTATACTCTATAAAAACCGCAACAGTTTCCTGCAAGGCACTAAAAATCTCAGTAGAGAAAAGGAAAACTGCAAAAATGGGGGATAACTCTCTGTGGTTTTGATAACTCTCTGTGGTTTCATCACTGTTAAAAGGCTGAGATACAGTTTAGCTAATTGTAAACGTCCCATATTGTATAAAGTCACTGCCCTCAGCCATGCCCTCAGCCCCGCCCACCTGGACGCACCATATAAACTAGCAGAATTTGGTTTCTCTGAGTGTTTACCTGAGATCTGCTATATTTTTATTCGATCACTAAGAAAAT